ACAGTAAATTTGCTGCTTAGATATGTGGCTAGGCTCTTTGTACTCTTCCCTTTTTCCTGTGAATCTAATGCCTCCTGTTTGTTCAGCAGCAGAGGGTGCTCTCGTAAGAAGTAACAGGTTAGAGGAAGGACAGAAGCTGACAAATTTGAATATTTGTTTTCTCTTAAACATGAGCAATAATTTTTCTGCAAAACAACTATTGAACAGGCTGTTGGTGTATCATTAGGTTCAAAAAGAGATGGCGAATATTTTTATTTACATTTTAGACCAGCTTTATTTAATGCAACTCAGAGTTGCGTATCATCTGTTGTTGTCAACATTGTATCTTGCAAAAGATGGTATGCCAAGGACTTCTCTGCAATTCTCAGTCGAAGTCTGCTTTCCTGCTCTGTTTTACGCTCGAGTGTATCCTTTTCTGTCGTAGTCGTTCACGATTCATTTTTTCCACCCTACAACAAAATGAAAACATTCTTTAGTGGGCATAGAAAACCTTTAAGTGTCCAACCGTTTGTGAACACGGCCATAATATAGATGCAATGGACTGAAAAATGCCCACAGACAGTATAATGTAGTCCATGCTCTTAGGATGTTATCTAAGAAAACAGCTAAAATAGAGCTACACAGTCAGATGGATGTAAACAAATCTTACTTCTGCCTCCCTCAGTCAAAAATGAAATGACATCCTCACCCAGACAGCTTTTGCACTTTTTGTAAGAGCTTCAGGGCAGGCTCTGTGCAAGATGGATAGAACATTCAATGGACCACTGATTTGTGTGTGTTTGTGTGTAGCTTTTGTTGTTTTTTCTTTGACGGGGGGAAGTGGACTGAATAGCTACTCTCAAATCACGCTAAAATGCTTTGTGATGGAATGAATGTTTTTTGGCCATGTTGCACTGTTATAACCCAAGGACACTATTGCTGTCCTATAGAGCTGCTTCTAGAATGACCGTAAGGCTTTTCCCCAAGGAAGGTGATTGTTTGGGTGGGCTGCAAACTAAATCGTGTAACAAGATAATCTGGAGCCCTCTGAAGTCACAGGCTGCTTCAGTTGCAGATACCTTTCTATGAGCTGCTGGGAAGTTTCCTTGGACACCACCTTGGGTCTCTCAGTAGCTTCTGTAACCAAGCCTCTGATCTTTTCTAAACATATCGCCAAATTCCTCATTTGGTAACGACTCTCTTCGGAGTTCACAATCAGCTCTCCAGCTCGGTTTATCCTTTTTCTATGCTAATAAAGGAAAAATGTGAGGTGATCACCAACACCTAATTATGCCTGTTACATTTTGGCTAAAAGTGTGAAACTTAAACAGTAGCGGGAGGATAAAGGGTAGTTACCATCAATGCCATTTTTTGTCTCACATCTTCCGGAATCCAGTCTGCTGATGCGAGATGGAACCTAACTTCTGCCTTCGTATTCACTGGGCAGGGAGGAAAAAAAGACCTTATTTCAAATATTGACTCATAGTGCTACATTTTTAAGAGAGAATTTAATCTGCTCACAGCTGACTTTGAACATATGATGATCCCAACATCAGTTTCTCAAAGAATCACAATTTGTCTTGCTATGCTTTTACATACCACTCTAAAAGAAAAGGTCATTTTTTTATGGAGACCTCGCAGGCTATTTGCCTTTCTGCATACTGAGACTAACTGCAGGACTGACTTGTCTTTAACAGCAACAGCAGAAGAGAAGGTATTTTTAGTTTTCTTATTTGAATTGAGCTGAGGATTTATGGTATGGAAAGGTTTAAGGATTCAATTGGCATGTTGTATGTTGATTAATGAAAACAAATTAGCGAACTGATGATGCTTTATGTGGCAAGCTTAGAAACAAAGAAGTCTGCAGTAAAAGTGTTTTTGGAGAGAACAGTATCAAATGTTTCCACTGGTGTACTGGCTGTTGCTAAAACATTACGGAACCTGGGAGAAATGGTGATAAAAATAATAATGAAACATTAACAACAAGCAGGAACGAAAGTGCTTTTTAATTTCAAGCTTTTAAAAATATTATACCAAAATACTAGCGGAACATCTCTTATACTTGGAAAAACAAGGGGAATTCTCCTTGGAAGTCAGGGCAGATCCTCCATACCTTTGTTGACGTTCTGACCCCCAGGGCCGCTGCTCCGGCAGTAGGATATAGTCAGTCGATCTGAAAAGCAAGAACAGGCACTGCCCGGGAGAAACAACCTGCTGCTTTAGCAGAGAAAAAACACAGCAGAGAGGTGATGCAAGAAGCCTGTTTGCCTGAAGCTGGTCTTTTTTTTAACCCTTTTTCTCTATTTCCTTTATGGATCCCATTCTCCCTGTCCTCGCAAGGCCACGGGGTGGCTCTTGGAGGTCGTGCAGCCTCCTCCGACACCTCCTCGTGCGGGGCAAACGGGGAGTTCGGCCTCCGCGTGAGCACGTGGCAGGGGGCGCCCCGGGACACGTCACCGCGAGCCGCCGGGGCCGCGACACTCACCCACGGGGGTGGCGAGGGCCGCCGGGGCGCGCCGCT